CTCGGGATTATTCCGCTGGTGTCCGATGAGTGACGGGTTTTTTTATTGTTTTATTACTGGCTCTGTCAACAATATCTCTGTCAAAAATTTTGCAGATGTTATTTCAACAGACACGTAAGTGTCTATGAACTATGTTAGGGTGTCTAAGAGAAACGTAAAAACCTAGTAATTTAAATTCTCCTCTCTACGAAATTTATATGCACTACAAGGAGGCTCTGTTCCTGGCCGCTACGCGGCGCAACCTCCGCGGCGGCGTGTGCCCCGAAAGGCCGCTTCGCGGCCAGCGAAATCGTCGAAATCGCCCGTTGGCGGTTAATGAGCAAACAATTTTAATTGAATAACAAAACGATGTTTCGAAGAAAAATTTCCCGCCAAACTATATTCTTAATGTCTTCCTCCTTCCTCTGAACTTTGAGTCTTCCTTTGGAATTCGAAATTTGGACCGCCTTACTCTCCTACCTCACCCTGTCCATCATTCCATCAAGCGTCTTAAAAATGTTTTTATTAAGAATAGAGAGGATAATGAAGGCTCGATTTTTTTCCGATATTCGAAAATTTCTATATGAATAACTACAGATAGTAAAGGAATAACTATAAAAGTGCAGCTGAATTGCTGTCAACGCTTCTCTTTCGCCACACGATATAGAGGGAAGCATGAGTTTTCGATGAAGTTAGGTGCTCCAATGGTGCCTAGCTATATCGTCCACCAGGTTTGAATTCTGCAAATGGGACACTTCGGTTACAATTTACGAAAAACATCTTTTGATACTGACTGGCAAAGACCTCCCCCCTCCCTTGAAGCGTGACTATCGATATTTCCCCATTTGCAGGTACTTAAACGCACCTTGGCGCCTGCACGACAGTAGGAATACTTCACGCATTGCGCGAAACAGTGCGGTCTGCGTGAGGGCATATTAGCGCCTACAAGACTGCATGGATACTTCTCGCATTGCGCCAAACGCAGTGCAGTCGATCGGTTGGCGTGAAACGCATATTAGCGTCTTATCCGACCGGTGTAGAACGCGAGCCTGCAATCCTGGAAGGATCGTGAAGATTTTTCTTCTTTCTGTTAACTTCCCCATCATTAAATATCCCTCATTGCATCTTATCTACTGGTCCTCCAGACAAATCAAACATAAAAATTTGCCAGTTTTAGTGGCAAGTTTCATGTCCGACTTCGCCATTGGTTCGTTCCACTGGGCGTCGTTGTCTCGTAATTTTGATGTTTTCAGTCATGGAGAATCCGTGTGTATAAAGCGTGGGCATCCGGCAACAGTGGCGAGGCGTAATGATCAATGGACCACTAGACAAGGTACGAATTTCAGCATTCTGATACATGTTTGTCAACCGAAATTTCACGTAGAACACGATGCGCACAACGAAAATTACGAAAATCAACTCCTTACGAAGCTATTAAATGATTTTTGATGCGTAAATTCAAACCACCCGCTCATGAAAACTCAATGCTCTACGTGATTCACATCGCGCGCTAAACGTTTATCAGGACAGTCTCTGCTATATAAAAATCTGGCAACCTCAATCTTGACACTTTGGCTCAGCTATAGCAAATTGCTTATAGTTTGCACAACACATGGTGGGAAATGTATATTGCTCGATTGAGAGGCTTGCTGAAACCGTTGTAGTGCGCGATTTGACTCACGTAGAGCTTTGAGTTTCTTATGAGCGGGCAGTTCAAATTCCTCGTAACCAACGTGAAATAAAAACGTTAAGATCTTCGTTAGAAGTTGGTTTCAGTAATTTTCGTTGCGCGAATCTTGTTCTACGAGAAATTTTGGTTCAGAAACATGTATCAGAATGCTTAAATTCGTACCTTGTCTAGTGGTCCATTATCGATATTTATCCATTTGAAGCTATGTTAAAGAATCTATTACTAAGCACTCACTTACCAATTTTAACAAATAAATTCAACGTAATAAAGGCGAATAGTTTTTTTAGAGAGAAAATATCGCATTCGAGTGCAGTTTCGATATCAGTATCGGATGTGATGTTTTCCCTCTAAAAATACCACGCCTTTATTACGTTGAATTTCTTTGTTAAAATTGGTAAGCGAGTGCTTCAGTCTTCTGACAACAGAATTGCGATCTCAAAATTGGAGAAAAATGACGAGTAGCTGAAAAATGGAACCAATTGATGCGATATATCGCATCCATTTGTTCCATAATTTCAGCTACTTGTCATTTGCTTCAAATTTTGAGATTGCACTTCTGTTGTCATGACACTAAAGAGTTCATGTGCCAAATTTGACAAAGAAATTCAACGTAATAAAGGCGCGGTTTTTTTAGAGGAAAAATATCGCATTCGATACTCATATCGAAACTGCACAATGCTATATTTTCCCTCTAAAAAAACCACGCCTTTATTACGTTGAAATTTCTTTGTCATATTTGGTACATGAGTTCTTCAGCCTCATGACAACAGAAGTGCGATCTCAAAATTTGAAGCAAATGACAAGTGGCTGAAATTATGGAGCTAATCGATGCGATATATCGCACTTCGCTCTGACACAAAAAATTGCCTCCATCGAATCACCTTACCTCCACATTCTCCGGAGCTCACGTGGAAACAGCGCCGCGTCTTTATCTCCCGGCGCGGAAGCCGGAGACCCTGGCGGACTCATTGAGATTCAAAGGCGGGATTTGGGTGCGGAGAACTGGACTCCTCGAGGAGCTCAAGTGATGCTCGGCAATCTCATGATATGAATACAACTCGGAGCACTTGCACTAACTTTTCCGCGTCGTCCCGCGTTGCGTCATCTCCTCCGGCGACCGACCCCGGGGACCGCGGGGCGGGCGTCGGTGCGCACGGTCTCGCGGCGTCGCGACGCCGTAAGCGTTGTCGTCGCTCCCGCCCGGGTCCGATGACACGAGTCTTTCTCCGCAACTTATCGTCGCCGATGTCTCCGCTCCCAACTTCATGCGTGGAGCTCTGTCGGGGACTAAGTGCCCCCCGGTATTTTGCTCGCAAGTTCGCCGCACGCGAACACGGAGGACAATGGGTTTTGGCGGGACTTGGAAATGAACTACATTTTGCAATTTGGAACTATAAATTCTGGCTCATCTGAAAAAACACTTATGTGCATAGAAAAACTAATGGCACATACGTTGTTTTTAAACCGGGCCAGAGTTTATAGTTCCAAATTGCAAAATGCAGTCCAAATGGTCTCTGTTGCGCACGAGAGATAGTCAGACGAAGGTGCACAAATCGTCGTTTGATAATAATACGTTATAATAAACGTGATCTAACGTTACTTTGTATGGTTAATGAGATTGACTTAGTTTACTTAAGTCAAGTAGCTATCAATTTCTGTATCGAATGCGAGGTTTTTTTCCTAACACTATTCTGCTTTAATTTTTCTGAATTTTGCCGATTTTTGGGCTTAGAATGATTCTTCAGGCTCTTGCGCAGGGGCTATCGTCCTTCGTTTGGCTAAAAATTCAAAATCTGCCGAGATTTTTTAACTAATCTTTGCGATATATCGCACGCCAGTTCGAGCACGTCACTTGAACTAGACGAATCACCTTGAGGAACGAAATCCGAGTACGTCTCTCCTATTTTCGGCTGTGTTGACACTCGATTTCTTCTTCCTCTTTTTTCAATTTGATGCCTGATTTTTTTAAACGATGAATTTGCAGACCGAAATCTAACGCTCGTATGTACCAGCCCCATACACCCCGCAGAGCACGTGTGTATTTTAGCAAAGTTAAAATACCATTCAATTTAGTTTTAGTGGAATCAGCGATGAATATCGTTGAATCTTAATCGTCCTTTCCTGCAGCACATTATCCAGACAAGGGACCTAAAATAGAGTGCAATTTTAGATGATATAATCGCGTAAAAATTAAAGCAAAGATCGAATTCATTTTCAACCATAATGAGTGAGATTGCAGAGAAGTTTTAATGGCTAGCTAAGGGGAAAATAAAAGGAAAAAGATTAGGAAAAACGAGCGCTACTAGATTTTTACGAGGATTGTTGGGCAGTCGTATGAAATGTTTTCGCAGCGCAGACCTCGGGCGGAGACTAAGAGAGCGGTTCAACCATTTTTGCGAGATTAATTTCAATTACTTTAATCACCCGCTAATTGACCGATCCATTTTCACGCCGTTGTCGACTTGCGTCGAACCCTTTACGAAAGATCGAGCTCATACAATGAAATTTCGAATTGTCGATGAATCTTGCAACACTGAGTCCAATTAAATTTTGAAATCAGTTTTTATCGATGCATACTCCCGAGCGAAATAATCGCTCGATAAAACGACTGCACTTACTCTGCATTTCAGATTGGTTCGCAAGCTCGATTTAATTTTTATTCACCCCACTGAGGGCGGATTTTAACTCATGCGATCTTTATTCAAAGCCCATTTGAGCGTATTTTTGCCAAACGGGACTACGTGCATTCAGACATGAGCCCTGAGACCCGTTAGAATATATGCATATCGGGGCTCACGTCATAGTGCACATATTTCCGTTTGGCAGAAATACGTCCATTTCGCCGAGGAGAAAGAAGAGAAACTCCAGTTATTCGCACCGTTTGATTGCGCACTTTTCATTGGTTTTAGATAGTAGCATACCCGGTATTACGTTTCCTTCATGAAGGTTATGGTGTCGTTTCCATAAAATCGCTTAATTAGTAACACTTATTAAAAACTTTGATGTTTGTTTTGATGTTTTAGTTGACCTGGAAAGATTGGAATAATCATTTCATGCCACTTCGAGCTGAGAGTCGGACAGTTCTTGGTGCGATCCAAGTCAGCCTGCCTTCAATTTTAACCGTATGCAACAAGCTTATCCTGTGCGCACGAAAAGTTGCATCAGGCGCACACTGGAACGAGTCGTTGAAACAAATCGAACATGAATTTTTCAACAAGAATTGTAAATATTGATGTTTATTTCGTCACATTTTAAATTCAAAGTTCTTTCCAATCTGTGTCTAAAATGCAGCTCGAAAAAAAGTGATGAAATTTGAAAATTCAAAAGTTACCTGTAGAACACGCAGCCTCAAAACAACTGCGAAGGGGTAGATGTGTCCGGTAAGAACCCTTCTCTCTGGTAACGAGAAGTCATCATCCAACGGAGAAACGGATTCTTTCCGGTGGCATAAGTTCCCCTGAAACATACGAGCCCCAATTTAAAGTGAAGAAATGGGCAAAATTAATGAAAATCTGAGAACCAATTTTAAAAAAACTTTATTCACTTACACTTTGTTGATACTATTTCATGACATGCTGGTGTCAACATAGTACTGAGAGGTTGAGGAACATGCCGCCCTACTGACAATTGGACGCATTTCTGCTAAACAGAACTATGTGCATCAAGACATGAGTCCTGAGATCCATAAGGATATACGCATAACAGGGCTCACGTCATAATCCACCACATTCTGCCAATCCGTTCGGCAGAAATACGTCCAATTTTGGCAAGAATGAGTTACCAACTTTGCCGCATCCTCCAATTTTAAATACGTAAGCTGACGTTTTTAGTTTGTTTCAAATTTTACGTGAGAGCGCTGGAAGACACTGAAATGTTTAAAAAATTGCAAATCTAACCACAAAATTACAAAAATGGCAAAGTTTCTTCTTTGTCCTGAAAAATCGTTATAGTTTGCAGTGAGGCGGTATCGTTCCTTGTCCATTGCTATGTTTCAATTACCAATACACTGAAAAAGAGGTATCTTAAATTTGCCGCCAAGAAGTATTTTTTCTCTACTCAAGAATTTTGGTGCTCAGTATAAACAACTTTTTTGCTCAATCTAAGCATTTTTTGTTTGTATCAAGAAAAATGTAGCCTAAATCACGATAAAAAAATTATTGGCGGCAAATTCAAGAATTATCACACTTTGAGCCAATCACATTTTTTTCAGTGTATGATTGTTTTAGCAAGAAAATTTCACTTAATTTTAATATTTTTATTCTATGAATCCTCATAATTTGAAACTTCTCCATTTTCGTTTACAAAAGAATGTTTAAACAAGCGGGAAAGTTCTAATACTGTCGTTTTAGAAAAGTGCTCCGGTGTTAGTAAATGCATTTAATGAAGAAAGGACGTATAAACTCCGTCGACTTGGCTGGGAAATGGAAATAAAACATCAGCTGATAGCAAACAAAGGTTACCAAGGAAACCGTGAACGCGTATTTTTGTTTCCCGAAAATGAGCTCACCGTTGAGCTCATCAGGCGCGTTTTTTTTGGCTTCATTTGAGTTCAACGATCAATTTCGATAAGAATTACTCTACCGCTAAGATATTTTCTTAAAGACAAACGATCGAAACTACCTGCGCATTACGTTAAAAGCATAAAATACAGTTTTCACAGCTTTATTTATTTTAAAAATGGACCCCCCCCCAAAGCCTACACATCGATGAGCCGGTGCGCCATTTAAACGCATTAGCACTAGTATACTAGTGCTCAGAGGCAAGTCGAAATCAAAAAGCGCTGCCTATCGGCTGAGCGCTTAGAAATTGTGTACTTTGTTTCATTTGGCTTTATTCGCATTCATACAGCGGTTTGAACACGCGGATACAAAAAAATCAAGGGGAAATGGAATAGGGAAAAAACGCAGAACACAAAAACGTGCACGAGGCTGGGAAGAAATTGAAATCGCGGGCACGTACTCTAATGGAGATGAAATGCCTCAGTCCACAAATGCTCACCTCAGAACTCCAAGTGAATACAGAGGGCGAGAAGCTGTCAACAAAAATGAAAAAAAAAGTGAGAAATAATGATAAATAAGGAAAAGTTAGAAAGAGAGGGGTAGGCGGAGGGCAAGGAGAGGGAGAGGGAAAGAAATAAGCGGTACAGTTTGTTGTGAATGTTGTATGAAAACCTGTCCAACAGGATAACCCGTCCGGAGGTGCGAGCTGGGAGGTGCTATGCTCGCATACTTTGGAGGCGGGAGAGGATTTATACCTTCATCTCGTGGAGGGAGGAAAAGTGCATGCCATTGAGGAAAATAAGACCGTGTGGGAAGCAGGTGTTTTTATTTCATCTGAGATTTTTTTTAAAGCAAAAAAACTAGGGTATCTTTTGTGTCGTCCAACATCACACGAGGAAGTGAGAGCTCATCATGAGAAATAAGAATACTGGTGAAATGCAATTACATTCCTAAATTCTGTCGGCAGTGAGTTAATTTGCGTTGGTCACAGAGGCTGTTTTAATGATTTCAGACTATTGATCAGGAAAGTATGCTAAGATCCGTCAACACATAAACTTCCCACATCCGGTATTAACGGAGTATTATCGCCCTTCAAAAATCATGGCCAGGTGATATACTCAAGAGAGGGGGGGGGGCACAAAATGGGAGTTTATGGAATAATTTAGTCCCAACCTAACTTCCAAACCAAACGCAAACAATTGCAACGCGCGAATGTTTCAGGCTCGGGGAAAAACATGTCAAAATCGTGAATCACTGTTTCTAGGCGTTTCTCGGCCACCTAAATGCATTCCCAAAAGCATTCAAAAGCTTTATAATTTCACACGAGAAAATTCACGCCAGCAAATTTCATAAAATATTCAATCTCCGAGTGAGAATCGTCACCGGTCTTTGATGACAATAAAACGTCTCTGTCTCATATCGTCTGTGCGTTTGCTCAGATCACCTCAACGCGCCTTCACTTTTCAAGATACCTCACGCACTACCGCAAAGTTAGTTTAGATGTATCCTCCGATGGAACCTAACTCATTCTCCCGCAGTTCTCGTATACGGTCACATTTTCTGATGAACCGATCTGTAGGTACTGAGAAAAGCGATTATTGACAGGGTTGTCAACTTTTATTAAAATCAGCGATCGGATTGCCAATTAATTCTTTCCGGTTGTGCTATTGATTACTGCCTCCCAAAATTTGACGACTTCGTCTACAGCTGTGTTGTAAGTGTCGATCTAACGAACGTTGGTGTTAACAACTCGTAAGCCTGCAGATTCCGATAAAAAATTGATGGAGTCCCCTTAAAAAAAGGCGAGTAGAGCAAAAGACAAGCTTCGCACGAAATGAGAAACACGGTTGTCATGTAATGGGAATATCAATATCACCTGTTTCACCTTACTAAGGAAGAACGCCGTGCAAGCCTGCAGACGTTGCCATATATCCTTCGAGAAAAACCGGGTTTATCACAAAAATTGTGAATATTTCTCGTCAAATTTTTCAGACAATATTGTTCACAATTTAATCTCAGAAATCTGAAAATTTAAAGGAAAAATATGCATAACTTTCTTCAAAAATCCATGTTTTATCCAGAGAAATTTGGCAACTCTCGAATGTTCATACGGCGTTTTTCTTTAACACGGCAGTATTGAACTGACTACAGCTTACTTTCACAGAAAATACAGGGTTGCCACAGAATTTAGAAAATTAAATTCCGTGACATTTCCCTGATTTTCCTAACACATTACATTTGAAAGACGTAATTTGAGCTGGTTTCCAGGCCAAATCCGTTGTTCAAATTGTCAAGGCAATTTTGGAAAGCAGAGAAAGGTGACCTAACAATTTTCCCCGAACACTTTCGTCATTTTTCTAGTTAGTTCCAGGTTTTCCTTGAATTTTTAAAATTCCCTGACAAAAAATTCCCGCTTTTCCCGGTATTCCCTGACCGTGGCAACCCTGAAAATACCTTTAAAACTGAAAACGCTGTGTAAGGGCCAAGAGGGTTAGCCATCAAAAACTGCTTGACCGAGCATGTCGCTTCAGGATCGCGAGGAAATAAAGAACATTTTACGATGCACATAATCGAGCTTTTTATACGCCCCGTGAAAGTTTGATTTTAGTGTGATCATCTTGAGAGTATGATCGTTTCCCGAAGCTTAACGACAAAGGAGCAAGCGAGAGGGGAAATCGAAGAAGTGTTGATTGGTAAGCTCTCTGCACTTTGATGTTGTCGCCGCTTTTGACGCCGGGAAGTTTGAAAACCGAGAAAAAAGGGAGAAACAAAGGAAACACAAAGGAAGTGAAATGGACCTGCATTTAGCGTTCGTGCTCCGCTAAAATTCAATTGTCGACACGGGGAATGCTGTGCGTCCGGCACTGTTGGACGAGTAAATTGGCGTATTATATGGACGCTGCTCAGTATAAATTTTGCCAAACTTTGCAATATTTTTTTTGCAAATATGGCCGTCCGCGGAAAAATAGATCTTACAGGGTTGCCACGGAATTTATAAAATGAAATTTCGCATGAATTGACAATTCCCTGATTTCCCTGACACGATTTGGTGAAATTCCCATAGGCAGTTAAAGATAAGCCAGATGGTAAAAAGACTGGTAAATCTGCTAACAGAGAGTAGCAGATAATGTAAAACACTCGTATATTTCGCGGCCTTCCTGACATAAGCGCGTACATACCCTCGACGATGAGCCCTATTGTCCATATAACTCAATGCTTTTTCGGGCTCATCTCAAATTGTTGTTACGCATTTTTGTCAGCCAAGCGACGAATTTGTCCATTTTTCACTTCGAACCTCGACCATTTACTTCGGGGGAAAAAAAAAACTTTTTGGAATAGTAATTGGTATCAGCATCGGTCAATCTGTGAGAAACAATGAATAGCCCGAGGAAAGATCATCGATATTCACTTTTTCCCCCAATTTTTAGAGACTGCTAAGTTTATTGATTTATCCTCGATTTGTGATTACGGTGAGTAAACCAACAACCAAGATAACTCCTTGCTTTCTTAAGCGCAATGTTTGCAATTTTATGCCACATTAATATTTAAAACTTACTTGTCTAATAAATTGCATATTCCCTTTATTTGCTCGATTCCTGTTTACTTGCGATCCAAGTAAAGTAAAGTAAGACTTTGAAATCCGACAGCCAAGCAGAATGCATAGATGCGGGCGATGAAAGTACATGAAATCACCATGCATCCGGGGTCAGTCATGAAAACGGAAAGGATGATAAAACTAAGAAATGCATGGATATGAGTTTTCGGAACGTGAAGGAAATAGCGAAAATCAGCTTTGCGGCAAATTGCGCAATTGCATCGAAATCCGCAGCGGTCACCCATCTAGTCGAATCATTTTATGGATATTCAATGGACACTCTGCAGAGGAAAACTTAGAAAAACAGTAATCCAGGACAGTTTCAATGCTTCACTTTTTCAATCGTGCGTTGTCAACGTTTAAAATTTTAGGGAATAATCCAAACTCGGATTGAGGGGATTGCAGGACAAAGCGCATACCTGCAGTTTATGCTACTTCGAGAAATACATGTTTGTTTGAAAAAAAAATATCGGTATATTTACTAAGAAAAGGGTAAAATTGCTAAAAATTCAGGGTTCTATTTGATCCCAGTTTTTTCTTGTTAAAATTACCATTTATGGAATTGGTAATTTTACCGAGAAATCTCGGTAAAATTATTGACTTTTTCGGTAATTTTACTGGACCCCAGTAAAAACGCCAATATTTTTTATTGACTGTGGTAGAATTAACGAGATAACATCGCAAAGTTACCGGGATTGATTAGGTACCAATAAAAGTGGTATTCTTACCTGAAAAAAAAACAGTAATAATACCGGTTTTTAGGTAAGCTTACCAGTCTGTCTTTGTAAAATTACCAATAATTGTTAAAAAAAAAGTGAGATGGTAAAGGTACCAACGGACCTTGGTAAAAACGCCGAGATTTTTCTTCGGTTTGAAGCTTCGAAATCACATGGATCTTTATGGTGGACAGAAAGTTCAAATTGGCTTTCTGGTGCTTATAAATTTGGCATTAGGGAGCGAATTTTTCACAGAGTATGCACTAAGACTAATTTCGCTTGAATCATTTTTTTTTATTATTATTTGGTGTCGCACTATAGGTAGTTTTAAACTTCCAAGAAAACATCCAGCAGATCCGTAGAAACGTTTAATATCTCAATTTTTTTTAAAAAAAAATCGCACTTACGCGTCTAGACCTCCAAGCCCCTCAATTATTATATGCGGAAATACTTTCATTCTAACTTCCAAATTTTCACCTGGTATGATGCTTTTACGCACGTCAAAATTTGATATCCATGCACGTTCGACACATGTCATGCCACCGTCTCGAATTCAATGAGTCTTGATGCGTTTGAAGTGAAATACATCCCCTTGATGAGCTTGATTAATTCGGAGTTTAATTACTTACCCCAACAAGAAGGGTTGTCAGACCTCGAATGAGTGTTCGATAAAAATGCGCTCCAAAGGGAAAGCGGGAAAATTTTCATTTGAATTTGGCAACGATACCAACAAAACAGTTTATCTACGGTGCAGGTACAAAGTCACTGAATGTCACACGCTCTTCAAACAGAGCAGGGCTCCACTTCTGTACACAATGGGTCGGATCTCAGCGATCAAAGGCATTCCCACGCAAATGAATGCTTCCGTACTTTCGAGCTCAATTGACATGGGTAACAGCCTTAATTTCAAATTTTCGCTCAGAACCGAGCAAAAACATTAACGAATGTCGTTTAAATGATCACTTAACTCGCTAAATACCAGGAAATGCTCGCGTTTCTTTTATTCATTCGAGTTTTTCAACACATTATTGTCCTTATTGTGGACCGTGCACGTCGTTTTTGTACTGCGAAAATTCCGACACTGATTTTATTCTAAAACAAAAATCGTAATTCTACTTACAGGTCTTTAAAGAGGCAACCCTACACGCAAATTGCTTTCTACTCTTCCCTCATTCAGTGACCGGGGGGTGCGTGTGTTGTAAGTAGGTGCCATTTGTCAATC